CGTCGAAGACGTCACAGACGCCCTGCGTCTTCTTCTCCTCTCCCTCCGCGACCGAGCCCGGCCGGATGAGGGCGGTGTGGCGACATCTCCGTCACTACCACCGGGTGCAGCAGCACCATCACTCCTCGAAGAGGATACAGTGTCTCGCAAGACACTCGGCTGAAAGCCAAGAGGTTCTTGACCTTCACACAGTGAACTAGGTGTCACCTTACCTGCATCTCCTGGGCCACGCCCATGATGCCTCGACTCGCAGTCGACCGCGACCCTAGGGTCACGCAGCGGTAGGTCATCGATTAGATTCATACCACTCAGTGGATTACGCGCCACTCCGCGCTCGTCCTCACCAGGACCCAGCAGTTGGTCATTGACCTGACCTGCACCGCTCCGCGGATAACGTGCCGCACCACGTACGCCCTCAGGGCAAACAGCAACCTCGTTGCTAACAATTTCGGACATACCAATGTCCAGCACTACGGCCGCCTCGGCCTCGTGCTCGCGCCAAAAGCGCTTCTGCTTCCTAGCAGAGGTGGGTTCATGACTCACCAAAGCTCCACTAGGAGCAGGGTGCGACGCACCCAGCGTTTTCGACTTCCAGTCGATCCATGGCTCATGACGTTCCAGCCATGCCATGCCAAGGATGAGGTCATACCTCGCATCCAGGTCTAAGACCAAACAGCGTTCCACGCTATCGAAGTTCTCAAACTTCACTCCAAGGTCGACAGAGACCTTCGACACAGTTACCAGTGTCCCCGTCGCGAGACGGACAGAGATCGTATCTCTCGTTGGCACTTCCAGTGCCTCAGCATACAGCTGACTCCCTTCCAGGGTGGAGCGACGGGCGTAGTTGCCCGAGGCTCCCGAGTCAATTAAGACTCTCCATGGCTTTGCAAAGCCCTTCACGTTCGCTTGAACGACCAGCAAGCCCGGCTTGCACACACTCTTCTCGTAAGAGAGCTCAGCTCTCTTCGGGGCTGAGCCCCGTTGTCCTCTACCTCTTCGAGGCACAACAGAACTCAGTTCTTCCCCAGTAGGCCGCCCCGCGCCTACTGGGAGTTGCCGTTTCCCGGCGATGACCCGGAGGGTTGGCTCGCCGGAGCCTCGCGCTTCTTGCGCAGAGGGCAATAGGCCCTCAAGTGCTTAGTGCTATTGCACACAAAGCATCGGCGGATGCCGGCGCGCTGCTCCGCAGCAAGAAGCTCCGCTTCTTCATCTTCAGCATAGCTGAGGTCCATCGGCTCTGGACCGCTCGAAGAGCTTGCGCTACCAGCGCTCCAACCAGGTCGCGCCGACCTGAAGTTGTGCTCGGCATTCAATGCCACATCCACCGCCTCTTCAAAAGAGTTAGGGTGTACACGGAACACTTCCGTTCGAGCTGCGCTCACACGAAGTCCCTCCATGAACACGGTCACGCTGACCAGTTCCGGAAGAGGGTCCGCCGCCATTCCGGCGATAAGAGTTCTCAACTCTTGGACATAGTCCAATAAATCCTTCTTACCCTGGCGGGTAGCAAGGAACTTTGACCGGATACGGTACGCCTGATTAGGCGGCGCGAACACGCGCGAAAGCTGTTGCTTCAGCTGATCCCAAGTGGGAAATGCAGCGTCAACAGACGTGCCGCACGTTAGTGCCCATTCGCGAGCGCGACCTCCAAGCCTGGAGACAGCCAGCGCCACGCGCTGATGCTCAGACTGGAGCAGGGCCGATCCCATGGTCATCTCGACCTCACGGGTCCAGAGAGGGATTCTCTCATCTTTCCCTCGAAGTTTTACGCTCACATGAGCGTTTCAGTCTCATAGACTCTTCACGCGTCATCGACGCCGCC